CCTTTAAAGAATGATATCATGAAACCGTTCCCCTTTAGAAACATGTCACCAGAACAACGAGTTTTTAACTATCTTCTCTCACGAGTGTTGTAGAAAACGCCCTTGGTCTGCTATCATCGAAGTTCAGGGTTTTTCTGTCCAGAATATCTCTCAGCCCAGAAAAAGTTGAGAAACTGGTTATGGCTGCATGTGTCCTGCACAATTACTTAAGAGTGAATTCAGATCAAGCAAACACTGTCCCGGTTACTTATGACAACGAGGATATAACAGGCACTGTCACAGAAGGGTCCAGGTCCTTAGAATCTTGTGGTATATCTCACAGCAACCACAGCAGCAAGCAGCATAAAGCTAAATGGGGAAAACTCATGGAATATTTCAACAGCCCTGCTGGCGCAGTACCATGGCAATATGATATGATGTAAAAGCCGCACTAAATTTTGGAAATCAAGTGTGACTACAGTGGATAGCTGTACTGTCTGGCTATATATATATATATCAGAAGTAGATAATAGGGAAGGAGTGTGACTTCAATAAACAAGGGAAATTCGTCATTTACTAGCCTTAGAATACCTACGATTTACTACACGTAACTCAACCAACTTGAGCTCAAATCGTACACAGTACATTCGCCTAGTATCATGCGAAATTGTTTCCTCGTAAACACCTGCAATCCGGAGATACAGACTAAAACGTACGACACGATTTTCCATTATGTTCCCAGCAAACTGAATGTATAAACCGCCTAACTTGAAACAAAAGGCAGCTACTAACGACTCTTGCTCCCTCGGCGATGCGGTGTGGCTCGCTAGTAGCTGCCTTTTGTTTCAAGTTAAGCGGTTTATACCAGTGAACAAAAGAAGCTCATGTTTGTATACATTTGTATTTTTATTCACATCGAACTCGTACGACAAAGTGTCAAACTCTTTTGTCTTTATTAACTCCTGATATTATGTACCTAGGCGTCTACTCAGTACTCTATACTAGTATATATATATATATATATATTTACCTCAAACAATGAAACTGTCTCTCTCGCCTTCATGTGCTCTCACAGAAAGCCTAAAGGGGTGGACACACTAGGCGATTTTTCATACGATTGAGCCGGCCGACCGAGCCGGCCGGCTCGATTGCATGAAAAATCGCGTAGTGTGTCCAGTGAGTCGCGGTCGATTTTCGAGTTGGCCGGCCGAGTCGCCCGATTCAAACATGTTTGATAATTATTTGAGCCGGCCGGTTGCAATCGCCTAGTGTGCCTGGGTCTGCGATTGAGCCGGCCGATTGTACAATTCATCAGCCAATCAGCGTGCTGAAAATCCACAGAGTCACTCGACTCAATCGCGTAGTGTGTCCACAGAGTCGCCCGACTGAGCCGGCCTTGCTCGATCGCATGAAAAATTGCGTAGTGTGTCCACAGCTTAACTGCTTCACCACCCATTCCTGGTACTTGTTTTTTTGTCTCCTTTGGCTGCCTGATGCAGCAGGTTTGACCAATCGACTATATTGGGTCCTGAGGGACTTCATGGTCTTGGCCACCTCTTCCGCTGAAAAAGACATGATCATGAATAATGCACTAGTCAATTGAGGACACAGTCGTTGTTAAAACAAAATGTCGGTTGGATTGCGCCCAGTTTTCGCGGAGTGCGTTTTCAGACCCCTGTCTCAGATATCTGTCTAAATGGACAAAAAGGGGGCGGCGTATTCGCGTTGGGGCGCGGCTTCGCCGCGAGCTGTGCGCTGCGCGCAAAAACCGGGGCCGCAAGTCTGTCAAGTCCTGACACGATTGGAGACCTAGTATTGGGTCAGGGTCAGTTTCCACTACATACAGCTTAACGTCTGTGTCACGTATTTTGGTAGAGATGCATCCCAGTGGCTGAAGTTTCAACCCTCCATACGCAGATAGCACGGTTTGTGTCTTACGGAGACACGGTTTCACGTGTAGTTTCGCGTAGTGTTTCTCGGGCAACACATTTTCTTCAGCACCTGTGTCAATTTTGAATTTTATTGGTTTCTTACTGCATTCCAATTTAAGTTCTGTGCGCCATGCATCGTCAGTGCTCTGTACTTGTCCTACCTCAACATGCACTGACCCGATGAAGAGGGTCGTACTGACAAATCTTCTAACGCGTGAATTTTACCGTGCTCATATTGCTTCCGATTGCTACCACCACGACACATATTAGCGAAGTGAGTTTTCTTCTTACAGTTATGACAGTCCTGTCCGTACGCAGGACATGCGTTTTTTTCGTGTTTCTTACCACAGTTCCTGCAGTTGAATTTTGATGCAGTTTGTGGCTTAGGTTTGTGGTGAAACTTTCCTGTCTGGGACTTAGCCTGGGGCTGACGGTATTTCTGTCCCTTGCTCGATACGGCATTAATCCTCGCAGTAGCAACGTTTTCTATTTCTCTGAGCTGTCTGCATGGTGCTCCCCTCGGCGGCCCTGCACAACTCGACGATCCTGTCGAGTTTGGGATTGTCAGAGTCTCTCAATAGCCTTTCCTGAGCCTGGAGTCTGCCACACCGAAAATTATCCGGTCACGAATCATGTTGTCTCTTTGTGTGTCAAAATCACAGTTTTTGCGTGATTTTTTAGGACAGTTACGAATTGGTCTATCGTTTCCCTTCCCGTTGGGAGCGTTCCCAGAACGTGTACCTTTCTATAACTGTTCTTGGCTCACAGTACTCACTGAATTTGTATAGAACTACATCAAGACTGTCCTTGTCCTCTTGATCCTCATATGTGAAGGTATTGTAAATTGCTATTCCCTCTTCTCCGATCGTGTGGAGTAGTATAGCAATCTTCGTAGCACCATCTTTTCTTACCGCACCTGACGCCGTGAGGTAAAGCTCGAAGCGCTGCCTCCACTTTTTCCAATTCTCTCCGAGATTCCTATCGAAATTGAGCTGGGATGGGGATTTAAACTGTTCCATTTTAGGCGTGAATTTCGTAATTATTTTGACACCATGTAATATTTTAATAGCAGAAGAGCGCCATTAGGAAAGCACAACAGAATTTATTCGCATCTGATTGGTTGATATTACATTAGAGTTATCTGGGTACTTATGACGTATAGTGCATATACGACAGGTTCAGCAATGGAATATCTCCGCGTTCCTCCATTAAAAAACAAATTGAAAAGGTTTAATTATAATTGCAACATAACGAATGTAAAATAATAATAAATATTTATAACAACAACATATTGCTGTTCATCTTGTAATAAGTCCATCGGAATTAATGATAATATTAAAATTAATTTTGCTATATTTCATGCTTGTAAAATATGGAGAGATGAGGTGG